TAGAGCCGAGTGCCCAACATTTGTGACTGATGAGGGACTAATAATTAGATCTTAATGTACATACATCCCCATTCAAAACTAAGGTACAAGCACACAGTCTGTATTTACCATCTGCTGTTGTGCAGATGCCAGTGGTACCGTGCAAGCAAATAAAGGTGACAGGCAGGTGAGGATGTGTCCATAGAGTACTGGGATTGCTTGCCAGTCACTTGTAGATCTGCCAGAGTTAGGGACAGATGGCTTTAAAGGTGGCTGCTGCTATGGGAAATTCAGCTGAGACTCTCACACCATTTCCACTTTCTGAGGAGTTTGATTTTTTTTTTTTTTTTTTTTCACTCTGGTCTCTGGCTGCCTGGCTCAGCAGAGAGCTATGTACCTTAATACTCTGCATGGCCCTGCAGAGTAAGAACAAGAGCAGGTAGGGAGAGATGGAGATTCAGTTTACAGCCTGGGTCATATAGTCTTAGCCAGCATCTTGGTTACTTTTCTATTGCTGTATTAACAAACCATGACCAAGGCAACTTATATAAAAGTTAGCATCAAATTTGGTTTATGGTTTCAGTCCATGACGGCAGAGTAAAGGAGCCCCACCCCCACCCTCAAGAGCTCATGGCTTTATTCATGAGAGAGAGAGAGAGAGAGAGAGAGAGAGAGAGAGAGAGAGAGAGAGAGAGAGAGAGAGAGAGAACTAGGAAGCTGAATTCCAGGCCGGCCAGAGCTATATACTGTGAGACCCCGTCTAAAGGAGGAGGAGGAATTGGGGGGCATCTTAATTCACCCCTGCTGCCCCTACCTAGTGGTGCTTTCCAGTCTCTTCTGATTAGCAGTCACCAGCTTAAGAAGCCTTTCTGTCCACTGCCTAGGGATGGATATGCATGTGTGGAAGTCAGAAAACTTTGGAAGACTGCTTTCTCCATCCACCATGTGGTTTCAGGGATCATACTCAAGTTGGCAGGTTTGGTAGCAAGTGCCTTTACCTGCTGAGTCATCTTACTGGCTCCCCAGAACCCCCTTTGAGCACCTGAGGCCTTATGCTGGAAGGAAGGCAAAAAGACATGAGGTGCTGGCTGTGCTGCATTCAGACACAGCATCCCAGACCTGGGCAGATGGACAGACCACATAGGAGAAGCAGAGAGAGAGTTAGCTGCTCTGCAGAGCCAAGTGATTGGCCAGAGTGGGCATCCCCTTTCCCAGATGTAAGCTTCAGGGAATGAGCACTTTCTAAGATTGTCTCAGACACAGAACTCCAGCCTGCATTTTTGTGACATCACTAGCTAGGACTTGGGTCCTGACATTCCTCTGTGCATCCAGGTCTCTTATTCTGGAGCTAGGAGTTAGGTGGGGGTCTCCTTGTGGTCCTACTCACCATCTGTCCCCTACCCTAGTCATTAGTCATTGTCACCTTCCTCAGACATTTCCCCCACCCTTTTTGTTTTTTGTTTTTTTTTTTGTTTGTTTGTTTGTTTTGTTTTGAGTCTGAGGCCTGCATGATGTTCAGTTTCTCAGCACAGACTGAACTGAGTCACTAGGAGCCAAAGAGAAACAAAACTGAAACCAGTGACTGGGAAATGCAAGGGGGAGGGGGGGGAGAGGAAGGCAGAGGGATGAAGGGCATGTAAAACACTGGGAGCTCACCTGAGGTCACTGAATCTGCCTTCCCTATTCACCAGGCCTTCTTGAGCTACAGAGACATTGTGAGCCACAGAAACCATGCTAGGTTCCATCTGCAAGAGCCACCAGCATGGACAGGGTGCTGGCCACAAACCTTCCCTCAGAGGTCAAAACCTTGTGACAGGACTCTGCTCCTTAGGGGACTCAAGAGGAGCCTGATATCCGTCCTGCCAGTTCCCTGGGCAGGCAGCTCAGGATATAGTTGCAGCTACTCCCTGGGCTCTAGGGAGAGGTACTTACTTCCCTGAGCTGGGAGAAGTCCTTGGCCGAGCAGGGGTCTGCTCTGAAGAGTAGGGCAAGGTCCTAATTGTAGGCCAGCACCTGTCACCTTCACCAGCCCTGCAGGAGCAGTGTGTTCAACCCTTAGGACCTGCTGTCACAAGGGAGGCTGGCAGGGTTACTCAGTGATTCCTGGGATGGCTTTTCTCTGGCCTTCCCTGCATAGCAAAGGGAATTCAGCCTCCTTCCCTTACACAATAGGGGGTTGGTTCCATCCAGGCCACGGGGACCCCCCCCTAGACAGCTGGGGTACAGGCTGATACTCCTTCATAATAGCAGTCTGTGGGGGCTGGTTGCCAGGGAGTGGAGTTGGGGGACCAGTGACTTCTGTGACCCAATGTTAACTCCTAGGAGGTATCAGTGTACACAGTCATAAGAGTCCCATAGGAGGCCATCATATCTGCTCATCTTCAACCAGGGCAAATCAGAGGCTCACTTCACAGGGAGGCCTGAAGGGAACAAACCAATGGAAAGGAGGAGGTGACAGGGTCGGAGGTTGGGGTTAGAACCAGAGAGCACCTGCTGCCACTGAGACAGCTTATGGAAATCCGAGTGCAGCTGGAGTGACCCAGTGAAAAGGGAAGGCTTGTCTAGGTTGTGTTCAGCCGAGTCACTGTTAGAGCATAAAGTGCATGCAGCACAGAGATGGACTAGTCCTGAGAGAAAGCAGGCAGCCATGGGCAATTTCAGTACCTTAGGACCCACCAGAGCCCCTAAGGGTGAGTTTCAGTTTCGTTTCTGAGCTCTGTTTGTGGCTGTAGGACCCACCAGAGCCCCTAAGGGTGAGTTTCGTTTCTGAGTTCTGTTTGTGGCTGGCGGCTCTGGTTGTGGTCAGGGAGGTCATTTCACTGTTTCTCTTTTCCCTGGGAATGGCAGGAGTCAGTACTGTTGAAAGGGCTCAGAGCCCTGGCAGCTGCACACTCTAGGGGAGCCAGGAGTGGTGAGCATAGCGCAGGATTCTGTGCAGGACTAGGGGATGCCTCCTCTGGATATTTGTAGACCCTGGTGAGCAAGGCTTTGTTTGTTTGTTTGTTTTTGGTGCTAATACAATAGTGGGGACAGTGACAGCGTGTGTGTGTGTGTGTGTGTGTGTGTGTGTGTGTGTGTGTGTGTGTTTGTGGTGCAGTGGTAGTCTGGGCTGAAAGCTGAGACAGTCGCCTTAAGTTTCAATTCCCCCCACCCCCAGAAGGGGAGGAGCCAACACTGTTTAAAGACACGGAAGCCCAGAAAGCCAAACACTCCATCTTTAAGCAGAAGACTGGTGAGTAGCAAACAGCACTAGGGGATACCCTGTAGCTCAGGGCTAGGGGATGCCTCTGGGTTCCTTGTAGATCCTAGAGGGCACTGTGAGACATTTCTCAGTGCTATTAAAATAAGAGGGTCGGTGATAGCTAGCACTGGGCTACTGGGCTAGACCCAGTGGGTCCCACCCAGCTGCTGATTTCAGGGGGCAGTTTGAAATAGCCCCATAAATTCCAATATTTCTGCTAGGAGGCTGCAGGAGAGGTTGGGGTCCTGGGGGAGGTCTCTGGGGTCTTGGGCTAAGGCCTAGATGAGAGGTTTCAGATCCCTTACAGCATGGGCCAGGAGCCCATGGGAAAGCAGATGGAAGTCTCCCGTTAAGGGTGGGAGGAAACCAGGTGACTCAGGGGGAGTCTTTGAAATACAGGCAGGAGAGCCTTCTGGAAGGGCTGACAGAGAATCCATGGAGAGAAATGTACCTGCCCAGGGTCTTCCCAGTCTCCAGAGTGAAGTGCAGGGTGCACTTCAGAGTGCAGGGTGTCCCACAGACATGCCACAGGGCATGTGTGGAGGTTCAACTGAATGGGAACACGGAGGGCAGGGACCTGGGAGACGGAAGGGCTCTTGTGTCTCTCCGTAGACACTTTAACACCCAGACAGGTCTGGGAAGGCTCCCACCCTTTATCATCTCAGTCTTCCTGGACTTGCAGGGTAGGGCGTGGTTAGGAGTTCTAACAGCGAAGGGGGCTGGATCTTACTCCCATCCTGTTTCCAACTGGGAAGAGGATGCTTTCCTAAGAGGACAGAAACCTAGGGGAGCCCTGCCATCGGGATCTTTGCCCATACTAAATGGTATATGGCACATGAGGGCCATTAGCAAATGCCCAGTGCCTCCTATAGATTGGAAATGTAACCAATCACCCCAAGGATAGCAAAAGTTGGCACAAGCCTGCTTGGATAGGAATGCTTAGGGAACAGCATAACTGGTTACTTGCGTATGCTTGGCCATTACCTTAGTTAAGGCAGGGACCTACATGAAATGTGGCGGAGCAGCCTAGATGGTTTCTGTGCAATGGGCTCTTAGTTAAGAGAAGCTGTGGAAGTGCAGATGCCCTTTGCACCTACCACAAATGGGGTGGTATTGCAGCTGGGGGCTTCCTCCCTTTGATGGGAACAAGATCTAGGTGGGCAGATGTGCCCGTCTGGGACTGAAAGTATAGCTGGATACCTAGGGCACTGAATGAGCAGAAGTGGGTGTGATCCCTGAGGTTTCTGTGCCTCTGAGATCCATCAAGTCTCAAAACTAACTCAAGAAAACTGCACACACTAGTTTGCAGACACAACCCAGAGGATACATACTAGAGAAGGAAAAAGAAGAGAAAATAAGTCTCCAAATTCTATTGTAGATATGTAGTCTTTGTCATGGCACACAAGCTCTGGGGACCGGTGATTGCACCTGATGGTGCATTAAGACCAACAGAGACAGTCATGGAACCATGGGCAAGGCTCATTGAAGGTGAAGGGGATGTTCATTCTAGAACCGAGATTTTCTGGAAATATGAGGTCTTTTCAAAGTCAGGGGAGGTAAGAATCATATTTGGACAAAATTTTTAGACTGAGACTCCATGAGTGTCTTTAGAATTATTCCTTTTTCATGATTCCTCTCCTAACTCACATAAAGAATGCATCTAACTCCCTGTCCATAACAGGAAATGATGATGTGCTGCTGGAAGCATAGAGCCCTACCGGGGCAGACAGAGAAGGCCAGTCAGTTCTAAATATTGGTGTCTCTTGTGTTTCTCAGTCAGGGGCCCAACCAGTGTCAGTGCTTCTAGACTCTTCTGAACCAAACCCGTTATGTCCAATACAAAATCACCAGGGGAAAATACAAGGATGACTCCTTCCTGTAAAGTCAGTCAGAAAGAGCTGACTTCTGCATCCTGTCACCTGAAACCACATAAACACCCTGAGGACAGTCAGGCAATGGTAAGCTGCTATCAAGAGCCACTCTCCCCAGGACATGAGCTGTGCCTGCTGGAGAAAAGGGTCACTTATGCAGTTAGAAAGGAGTGAAGGCTGCTGTTTCTGTGACAGAGTGGCTTTCTTGTCTTTTGGGGGCAAGATGGTGATCTTGGTTAGTTTGCTTACTTTGCTTGGGTCAAGGTGAGAACAGTGGCTTATCTCCTTCACCGAATGTTGTTAGTTCCAATCTTAGTCTGGGAAACCAGGGAGTTATCGGGGACTGCCAGAGCCCTGAGTCCTGGAGTTCCTTCTTTATAGGATTTAGTTTCCAGCTATAACTCTCAGAAGTCTTATTGTAATATTATCGCCTCCCTGGAGAAGCCATGTGGTAAATTTTCATGATTGTTGAGTTTTTATAGTTCGTTATATATTCAGGTACAGACTTTTGCTCAGATACATGCTTTGTAAATACACATTCCTTTACTATGGCTTGTATTTACATTTTTTTCTACCAGGTGTTTAGTTTTCTATTTATTGATAAGTTCTTTCATTAATTTTGCCTTTGGGATCATATCTATGAAACTAGGGCTATGTTGACTAGTTTTAAGTCAATTTGACACAAGCTGGAGTAATCTGAGAAAAGTGAACTTCAATTGATGGGGCATTTTCTCATTTGAGGTGTGGAGCTGCCTTGGCTGCTGATGCTCTGTTCTGTCCTGTAAAGCACCATGCCCTCTTACTACAGTTTTTTTTTTTTTCAACATCTTGGGGCTGCCACCCTCTCTCTTAGAGCAATTGCCTATTGAAGCAGAAATTAAGCCATTTATATTTAATGTGATGTGCTGTTGTTGATTGAGAACAGTGTTTTCTGCTTTCTGTGTTGTTTCTCCCTTTCCTGATATGCTTCACCTTTTTTGATTAAACACTGTATTTTGGTGAATGTAGTTCATGCTCTCTGTTGACTGCTTGTGCCTTTGATGTTTTTAATGTCCTTTTTAAAATCTGAAAGGCATATAGCACCTCTGGGTGACACAATACCATATGTTGTGTAGGAGGTATAAGTAGTAGGATTATGATTCCATATGCCATTGTCACCCTCCATCCTATCTGTCCTAGTCGTTATTTTCCATTGGCCAGAAAACCCACAATGCGTTGCTGTTGTTTGTGCTCAGGCATCATTTAAGGATGGTCAATTTATAAGCAATGATAGCAGTCACTATTTCTGGCCTCTGATCCATTGTACAGATTCAGGGTTCTTCACCTGTCACTTTTCCTTTGCACACAGAATGCTTTTCACAGCTCCTGCAGTGCTGGTGTGCTGGGGATGAGTTTGTTTGGATTTGGCTATCTGAAAAACCTGTGTGTATTTAGTCATCATATGTATGAGCCCATGAAAGCAACACAGGAGAGAAATTAAGAGTAGGAAATAGGTAGCTTTGTTTGAATCTCAAACTGACCATTACATGTTGGCAATGTTGCTCAACTCTCCAACTCTAAGTTCTCTTATCTGTATTATAGGGTTTAGTAACAACAGCAGCGACTGTCCTAACTGTCCTATGGGGGGGGGGTGAGGAGAGAGAATGCACGCAAAGTACTCAGTACCCTCTTCAACATTTACCTCTAACGTAAACTCTTACCCTCTCTCATTAGAAAAAAAATCCAAACTAATAATCCTTAACATAAATATAAACCTCCATTAGTGTGTCCCATGTCTGAGTTTCTTAGATCTTTATGGTTGTCATTAAGATCGAGAAATCCATATTTATTGTTTCTTCAAGTATTTTCTGCCCATTTACCACTGTCATGAGGGTCCTGACACTGTATATAATAGTCCTTGAACTCAGCAGCCTGGGCTGGAGCATTTCCACGGAGTATGGCATTACTCTTGCTTTGCCCTCATCTAGGATTCTGTGAACAACCTCTGCAGACAGTATGAGGAGAAGGTGCGGCCCTGCATTGACCTCATCGACTCCCTGCGGGCCCTGGGTGTGGAGCAGGACCTGGCCCTACCCGCCATCGCTGTCATCGGGGACCAGAGCTCAGGGAAGAGCTCTGTGCTGGAAGCACTGTCAGGAGTGGCCCTCCCCAGAGGCAGTGGTGAGAGCTCGGTGCTTATTGCCTTGCTAGACTGTGGGATGTGGGACTCAAAAGGCAGAAACAGATCCGCTCCCGGTTTGGGCTCACAGCACAATGAAGGTCAAGGTGGCCTTCCGTCTTGGCTTGTGGGCAGCCTTTCCTCTGTACAGCCTTGCAGTTTCTTCCTGCTTTCACAATCATGAGGGTACCAGCCTCAGGGATTAGAGCTCCACCCATGCAGCTTCTCAAGGCCTCCATCAGCCTAAGTTACCTCCTTTCTATAGGGCTCTGTATATCTGTAGGTGTTGGGGCTGAGTACATGAGCTGGGTGTGGGGGGGCAGCTTTCAGTCCATTGCACTGTTCCATTGTACATTTGTGGAATATTAGCTTGTGGAAGATCTAAGTGCCAAGAACTATACGTACACAAGAACACAGTTTCTTTTCTGAGCCCCTTCCAGGAACGGCCCATTCCCGAGGCTGGTGCTCAGGCTGCGGTTGCTGTTTGAGTTTTAAGGCCTAGGAGGTCAGTGATGGCTCAGTGACGCCAGAGCGGAACTGCTCTGGCAATGTAGGTGAGATGTGACAGGGAGATAGGAATTGGCAGAAATTTGTGATGGGGGACTGCGATAGCCGCCTGAGGGATGTAGTGAGTGGGTGTGTAAGAGGGTACAGAAGATGTTTGCATGTGAGTGAATGGTTCCCCACTGTAGTCTGATGCCTCTAGAGTTGGGGTGTCCTAGTTTGCTTCCTGTTGCTTGATTAAAAAAACATGACCCAAAGCCACGTGGGGAGAAAGGGGTTTGTTTGCTTTACTTGTCTAGATCACAGGCTGTCATGGAGGGAAGCCAAGAGAACTCAAATAAGGCAGGAACCTGGAAGCAGTAACTAAAGCAGAAGTCATGGAGGGGCGCTGCTTACTGGCTTGTTCCTCATGGTTTGCTCAGCCTGCTCTCTTATAGCACCGAGGACCACCAGCCTAGGGTCGGCGACACTGACAGTGAGGTGGGCCCTCCCACACCAGTTATTAGCCAAGGACAGACCTCATAGCTTACCAACAGCCCAGTCTGATGGAGGCATTTCTCATTGAGGTTCTAGCTTATCAAGTTGACAAAAAACAAATGAACAACAACAACAACAAAAAGCCCACAACCTAATAAACACAAAGGAGCATCTCATTGTGGACAAAAGTTTCTGTCCCGCCTGGTCCCATAGTCCTTTGGTCCCAAATAAACACACAGAGGCTTATATTAATTATAAACTATTTGGCTGATTGCTCAGGCTTCTTACTGGCTAGCCCTCTCTTAATTATTAACCCATTTCTATTCACCTATGTATCTCCATGTAGTCTTGGCTTACTAGTGATGCCCAGGACTCTTTCCTCGTAGGCAGCTACATGGTGTTTCCCTCTGGCAACTGTTCCCTGAATTTCCTCTTCCCAGAATTCTGTGAAGCCTGGTAGCCCTGCCTATACTTCCAGTCTGGCTATTGACCAATCAGCATTTATTTATCTACCAATAAGAGAAATCTATATTCCACGACATCGTGAAGAAGAAGGGGCCTCAAGCAGATGTAGCTTACAAACACAAGTGCACAAAAGTTATCTGGTTCCCAGTGCATAGGCCTGGAGTCTTACTGCATCAGGGAAATGAGGTTGAGACCAGAAAGGTTTAGGTTTTCAGATGGATGCGTGAGATAGTGAGGGTCAGCTGTCTAAGGCTTTTTATGGCAGAGCACAAGACTGATGTGGCTCTTGTATCCTAGGTATCGTTACCAGGTGCCCTCTGGTGCTGAAGCTGAAGCAACTGGAGCAGGGAGAGGAGTGGAGAGGCAAGGTCACCTACAAGGGCATAGAGGTTGAGATCTCAGACCCCATGCAAGTGGAAGGAGAAATCAATAAGGGTATGTACACACCCACATTGACTCCTCATTCTGGTCAGGCAGTAGGCAGGGAATCTCCATGACTGTTCACATTTTCCGATTTCTGGGCCTTTCCACATTGGGAGCCTTTCTGCAGTTGGGCCCATGTGATCTAGAGCATCACCATTTAATTTCATGCCCTCGTTTAGTGTTATGTGACCGTTGGAACAAACAAATCCTGTTACACATGCTAGTTGTGTTTTCAAAGTACATTCTTAATCAGAGGAAAAGATATCTTAAACACTCTGTGACTGCTGAGCAGAGTAGGGCGAACTTAGATTACAACTTGATGCAAGGGTTACCATCCTAGCTTCTGTGTCTAAGGGCAAGGAGATGAATGATGTCTGTTAACAGACAGCTGCCCTCCATTCTCCCTATCCCACCCCACCAAGCTTGACCACAATTCCCTTTTCCTCCTCCCAGCCCAAAACATCATTGCTGGGGAAGGACTGGAGATCAGTGATGAGCTCATTAGCCTGGATGTCAGCTCCCCGAATGTCCCAGACCTGACCCTGATTGACCTGCCTGGGATCACCAGGGTGGCTGTAGGCAACCAACCTGCAGACATTGGACACCAGGTGAGACTCTAGATTCCACTCTGACCCTCACTGGGATACAAAGGGCACTGCAGTATGTCCATGGCTGTGTCTAAGAGGGACTTTGTAGAGGTGGGAGTGAGACTGGATGGCCAGGGTTCACTACAGAGCCATGCAGTCCATGGAAGCCAGGGCCTGAAGCAAGTCATAACCAATCACGCTCAATTCTGTCTCCATAACTAGGAGTTGCCATCTCATTTCTTACAGATCAAGAAACTCATCAAGAAATACATCCAGAAACAGGAGACCATCAACCTGGTGGTGGTCCCCAGTAATGTGGACATCGCCACCACGGAGGCACTGAGCATGGCTCGGGAGGTGGACCCTGAAGGGGACAGGACCATAGGTGAGGAGAATGGGAGATAACAGTGGTGTGTGGGTGCCAGTGGGGACAGATCCCCTGCATCCAAATGGACCAAGCTCACTGCACATCCAGGATCCCACTGAGTTGGGATCCAGTGACCCCTTCATCTCATCTCCCTGGTAGATGAGGGGTCAGAGGTGGGCAAGCATGGGGAGGAAAACTTATTTGCTGAGACTCAGTGGCTTAGGAGCCATGGTACAGTTCACACAGAGAGTAAGCATGCACAGCTGTTGCCTCTCCTCTGAGTGGTGGCTATGGAGAGGTGCCAGGAAGGAGCCTGCAGCTGATCGAGGGTCTTCATTGTCTTCTTAAGGACACCTGCACATATCTCTGTGCATTCTGCATGGGTGTCCACTAGCTACCCTGTCTACCTCATAAAGGATGGTTTCTTAGGTTTACTATTGCCATGATGAAACACCACGACCAAAAGCAAGTTGGTGAGGAAAGGGTATATTTCAGTTTACACTTCCACGTAACAGTCTGTAATGGTTTGAAAAAGAAAAATGGTCCCAAAAGGAAGTGGCACTATTAGGAGGTGTGGCCTTGTTGGAGGAAGTGTGTCACTGTTGAGGTCTCGTTTGCTCAAGCTTCCCTCAGTCTGACTGTCAGTTGACTTACTGTCGACTGCACCATGTCTGCCTGCCCTCTGCCATGCCTCCTATCATGATGAAAGTGGACCGAACCTCTGAAACTGTAAGCAAGCCACCTCAATGGGATGTTTTCTTGGTAAGAGTTGCTGTGGTCATGGTGTCTATTCATAGCAATAAGAACCGTAACACAGTCCCAGGACACACACTCCATCACTGAGGGAAGTCAGGGCAGGAACTCAGAGTAGGAACCTGAAGGCAAAAGCTAATTAAGAGGCCATGGGGGAGTGCTGCTTGCTTAGTCTGCTTGCTTATAGTACCCAGAACCACCAGCCCAGGGATGGCACCACCCACAATGGGCTAGACCCTTCCCCATCAGTCACTAATTAAGAAAACGCCCCACAGGATTGCCTACAGCTCAATCTATGGAGGCATTTTTTTTCTTTTCTTTTTTTCTTTCCTTTCTCCCTCCCTCCATCCCTTCCTGGAACTCAAGTTGTAGACCAGGCTGGCCTTGACCTCATAGAGATCTGCCTGCCTCTGTCCCCCAAGTGCCAGGATTAAACACATGAGCCATCATGCCTGGTTGGAGGCATTTTCTTAATTAAGGTTTCCACTTCCCAGATAACATTAGCTTGTGTCAAGTTGATCCAAAACTATCCAGCACATGTGGGAAGTGGCCCTTGGCTGCTGGTGGCTGGTAAGGGCTGGGCTTCCGGACATCTTGGGGCAGTATGCTCTGTGATCTCAATGCCTTTCCCATAGGGATCTTGACCAAGCCTGATCTGGTGGACAGAGGTACTGAAGACAAGGTCGTTGATGTTGTGCGGAACCTGGTGTACCACCTGAAGAAGGGCTACATGATAGTCAAGTGCAGAGGCCAGCAGGATGTCCAGAAGCGGCTGAACCTGGCTGAGGCGCTGAAGGTGGAACAAGCCTTCTTCAAGGAGCATTCACACTTCAGGTGCCTCCACTATGCTGTTCCATGCTGGTCAAGAGCAGACCTGACATGAGGAGTGTGTGTGAGGGGAGGTAGTTTGTGGCATGAACATGCAGAGGCACCACAGTGCACATGTGGAGAACAGAGGACAACTTGTGGGAATTGGTTTTTTCTTCCGCTGTGGGGGATCCAGTGATTGAACTCAGGTGGTAAGAGTCGGAGGGAGGCACCTCTACCCAATGTATGAACATCTGGATGTATGTACTCATATATGTAGACTATTATGGATGGGTGTGTGTATGCTAAAATGTGTATTATACACGGAACTGTGCGTGTGTATATGTACTCACAAATCACACTCAGAAGGATATGTGTGTATGCTTGCGTCACACATAGAAGGGGATATTGTGCTATGATAACATATCTGTAGTTGTGTACATGGTTGTTGGAGAACAGAGTTTACTCTGATTATTAATGTGCTGAGGGAGGTCATTGCAGCCCATTGTGGAACTATCCTAGCTGGCTCCCCTGTATCATTGTACAAAACCATCTCTGAGTACTCCATGAGTACCAGTCTCAAGGCACCCATTCATTGATACTACCCAAACTGGCCCTGGTCTCCCCACAACAGGCTGTGGACTTGTGTTTGGACAAAGTCTAATGGGATCTTCTCTCCTATCCCCTCAGCATTCTTCTGGAGGATGGGAAAGCCACAGTGCCCCTTCTGGCAGAGAGACTGACCACAGAGCTCATCTCACACATCTGTGTAAGCTGGGATGGTTGTGTCTCCATCAAGCTGAGCTGGGATTGGGACAGTCCTGGGCACACAAGCTGGCCAAGATCTCTTTGCAGTGACATGTTGTGTTTGGGAGTCAGTGACTCCTGCATCAGAAGGCTTTGTGCTGGTGTCTGCTGCTGTCACCCTTGGGGTCTGGGTGGCATGGCTGTGAGCCCCTCATTCTGGAGCTGACCTCAAGAGCCTGAGTTCAGATAGGCTCTTCAGATAGAAGCCATGTTCCCTTCCTCTGACCTGAAGGAGTCTGCATCTGAAACTTCTCCACCTGGGGAGTTGAGAATACACAGCACATGTGGATTTAGTGTGGAGACCTGCTTGAGGACTGCTGTGGAAAGATATTCAGTGGTGATCTTCTTCCTCTGGGCTCTTCTTCCTGTTCAAGGTCATCCTGCAGCCTCGGGATGCAGGTGGAGATCAGGGTGTCTGCAGGGCACCATGACGTTGATGCTCTCTGGGCTTGCTTGATGCAGACAGAGGCAGGCCTGTTCTTGCTGAGCTCTGGGCCTTGAGCTGCCTGGAGATAGCAAGCTGTAGAGATCTGTTGAAAATAATACACGAGTTGAAGGGTCTCATGTTAGTTCATCTGCTCTTGTCTCAAAAGCTACTAGAAGATGCTCTGTGGAGTGTCTCTGCAGAGAGTTTGTGTTTTGATATGTAAGGGATTGTCTCTGGGTGGTTCTTTTAAGCAGGAACCATGTGTAGTGGGCAGTTTTACAGAGTTGGTGTGGGGGGTAGACCTGGGTGACAAGGGCACCTCCAAAGCATGACCGTGCACCAGGGAAACCTTCAAAAACAGTCAGAACAATACAGGCATTGGCAGGAAATCATGTCTGCCGAGACTCACTCGCTGAGGAGCCATACAAAGTCCACACCGAGTAAGGGGACGAACAGCTTAGGTAGCAGCCATGTTTCTAAGCAGTCTGTATGTCTATGCCCCACTAATTTTTTCTACTTAAGAAATCGCTGCCACTACTGGAAAATCAAATAAAGGAGAGTTACCAGAATGCAAGTGAGGAGCTGCAGAAGTATGGCACAGACATACCAGAAGACACTAACGAGAGAACTTTCTTTCTGATTGAGGTGGGTATTACTTGTGACTTCCCATGGAGGAGGATTCCTACACCACTGTCTTAGAGGGGTCTCTTGTATCTTCAGTTTCCTAAGATGGACAGAAACACTTCTGGCCATCACTAGTACTATGAGGGGGACCAATACTAATGGATGAAAGCATGGTGGGGCTGGTGGGGACTGGGGGGCACTGGGATAAGGGGCAGGGTTTTCTGATGCCAAAGGAAAAAAAATTCCCCATTATTTAATTTGTCTCAATAACTGTCAGGGTATGCATGTCCTCTACCCACCTGTTCCTTGTATGTGAATTATCTCCTTCATAGAAAATTAATGCCTTCAATAAGGATATCACCGCTTTGGTACAAGCCCAGGAAACCATACCAGCGGGAGGCAGTCGTCTGTTTACCAACCTGAGAAATGAGTTTCTTGATTGGAGTTATTATATTAAGAAACATTTCGAAAAAAGTGAGTGTCCAGTTGGGTTGGTGTACTTGATACTTCAGTATCTTGAATTCGATTGCTATAGTCAAAAGAAGGTCTCGTCTGCAGTTCAAATTCAAGGCACCAGAAGATGAGGTGTCTGGTGAGGGCTCCATCTCTGCTCCCACGATGGCACCATATAGCTGGTCCTCATGTGTGGAGGATGGTAGCCAGCTTCCTCTGGCATTTGTTCTGAGGACACACATCCCATCTGCAAGGGTGAGGCTAGCATGTGCTAGTCGCTTTTTAAAGGCCCTCTTTTCAATGCCAGCGCAGTAGGGATGAAGTAGGGATAAACTGGGGGGATATGTCCCTCCAACCACAGGGACTCCAGGGACCATCGAGGGCCTGGGATTTGGGAGAGACTTTGGAGTATTTATTATACACAGGATGAGAGTGGCTGGATTGTGAACAAAGGAGCCACGTTTGCTTTGAGTCACAACCCCCAAGCTACCTGTTCCTGATTCTTAAGGACATCTGGAGAAAAATGTGGGTTAATCACCCTAGTTAATCATGGCTCTTAGAAGAATCTATGCTCCTTGAATAGAAAGCAGATGGACATGGTGGTCTGGGTAGACGGCAAAAAACAGTGACAACTACAGGGCTGGAGAGAGAGAAGAATGTGAAGGACAGATTTCGATGAGAGCAACAGTTCCTCAAGGTGACAGAAAAGTGTCAGAAACAGGCAGTTTGGGTCATACATAGCACAGGCCTGTGACATGCCAGAAGCCACTGGCTCACTGTAAATGACTTCTATTGCACGTGAAATGACGGCATAGACATTTCCTATCCCGAGACAGGATAGCCAGCACACCGTCAGGTCTACAAGGGAAGCCTGTGGAAGGTGCTGCTCCTGCTGGGATGGGAGCCTCTCACAGGAGTAGTTTTGGAAGCAGGGAAAGGAACTAAGCATTTTGTTTCATGTACACTTGGGCCCTCCAGGTGCCTATCTACTCCACCACTGCCTCCTCCCACACCGTGCTTTGACCCTTCTTCTCTGATCAAATCCAAATGGACTCATAAACCCTCACACACAAGGTTGTTCCGAGGCCGTATCTCCCTCTGGTTTCCTCTTGCTGTATTCTGCTGTGGCCTGTGGCAGTGCATTTCACTTTGAGAGAAGTGACCTTTGACACAGTTTTAGAAAGACCAGAGTTTGATTATTTATTTATTTATTTATTATTTATAAAGCCATGCAAGATGGCTTCTGTCAAAACAATTCTTTCAACCCTAGGTTCTGCCGATATACACAACCAGATCCATGTATTTGAAAATCAGCATCGTGGCCGGGAGCTCCCTGGGTTTGTGAACTACAAGACATTTGAGAACATCATCAAAAAACAGATAACAGCCCTAGAAGAGCCTGCTGTGGTCATGCTGCACAAGATCACCAGTGAGTGCTGCACTGAGTCACTGGGGAGTGTTGCACAAGGTCACTGCTGAGTGGTCACTAAGGAATGCTGTGCAAGGCCACTGAGGTTCCCTAAGAGGTCCTGTAGGGTCACTGCTGAGCGGTACACAGGGTCACTGAGAAATGCTTCTGTAAATTGCCATTTTATTTCTGGAGCAGGAGGCATCAGCAGCCAAGGCAGCTCTACACCTCAGAGCTCTCATCCGGGGCTCTGTGCTTTCGATACCACTATGGTGTTCAGTGCAGGTGCAGGGATTTGCTGTCAATCACCTAACCTCCTAGGCCCCTTGCTGAACCTTTCCAAGACCACAGCCAGAGTCCTTCATGCACGGTCCTAACCTACTGCAGTACTCCTGCCCCTGTTTGGATAGTAGCCCTATCTCCTGGGCTCAGTGCCAACTCATTTCTGCTGCCCAGCTGAACCTCAACTATCCTGCACTTTTGACTACCTGGGATTGGTACAGACCCCACAGGTCCCCAAACACTGCCCCTCAATACAGCAGCACTCAGAGGCCTCCTGTTCCCTTGGCTGGCTCCCTCTAAATCTGGGTTCTTGCAACCCTCTTTTCAGGTTTGGTGATCACAGAACTTGGGAACAGGCTTCACTGACATTGTGAGGCAGAGGCTTTGTTACTGTGGGGTTGGGGTGTACCTCCTTCCTAGCTCACAGGTACAGTGTAGGACCTGACACTACAGTCAGTGTTGGATGTATGTGAGGAAACAGAGAAATGGAAACTTCTTTCTTTCTTTCTTTCTTCTTTTTTTAAAGACAAAAATGGGGAAGATTATATAAGACCTCAGATCACAGGGACTGGAGAGGCCGCTCATTCAGTAAAGCGTTTGCCTTGAAAGCATGAGGGCCTGAGTCCAATCCCTAGAACCTACATAAAAAGCTGAGTGTAGAAACAAGCACTTATAATTCCAGCGCTGTGGAGTCAGAAATGGGGATAGTGGGAGGAGGACCTGAGGCTCACTAGCCAGCCAACTTGTCCTACTTGGGAGATCCAGGCCAGTTAGAGACCCTGCTTCATGAAAAAAAAAAATGTTGGACATCGTCTAAAGATAGACATCCGAATTGTGTTCTGGTTCTGTGCAGTTATCATGTCTACAAACTGCCCTGCATGACATCTAGGCTTTAATGACTTATATGACAACATTCATAACAGAAGTAAGTTCTCCAGAGTAAAGGAACTAAAGTTAACTTTCCAACTTCTGTAAATGGCGGTTGGGTTTGTTTCATGTAGATAACTGGGTACTTGGGATCACAGACAGGAATGAGATGGAGGTAACAGGTTTTGGTCAAGGCATTGCTGTATTTATAATTTGCTAGAAATGTCCTTTGAAGCTAGTTAGGATACAGGACATAATCCATGCCAAGAGATTGTGAGGTTTCAGATACTTGCAGAGTTCCTCAGAGGTAGAGGAGAAGGCAGAGAGGGAACAGGAACGAAACTTTTGATTTTATCCACGTTAACCTCACTTTTCCCCCGTTAGTCTATACAGAGTACAGATGATCTTGTCAATATTGAACGTTTTCCTCTTTCATCAGACATGGTCCGAATCGCCTTCAGAATGGTTTCGTTAAACAATTTTGGTGAATTTTTTAACCTCCACAGTGCTGCCAAGGTAAATCCAAGTATGTGTAATTTTTTAAAAAAATAATAAGCATGTTTTGTTTTTGCTTTTGTTTTGTTTTGGTTTGGTTTGGTTTCAGATCATTCCAACTTTCTTTTCTCTGTTCAGAAAAAAATGGAGACCCAAGTTTATGTTTGTGTCTTTATGACACATGCTACAGTTCTTCTGGTTAAAGCAGACATGGGAAGTGAAAGAGCGGAGGGGTGGGGGTGGGCATGGATTCAGCCTTAGGCGGAACATGGTTCCCTGCAGAGGAAGTAAACCTACTCCGGATACTCCACAGGAACATGAAATGTAATAAAAACGGGAAGATCCTGTCTGCCACTCTCTGCATTCCCTGACAGATGTTTACTTGTGACAAAGGGTTTGCTTTGGCTTACAGTTATAGGGGATACAGTCCACCCTTGCAGGGTAAGATGAGTAGTGCCCTCAGCTCTCCCCCCCCCCCGTTCATTCAGTCCAGAACCCCACTCCATGGATAGTGCTGCCCTCAGTAGGGTGGGTCTTCCCATCGCACTCAGTCAAAACTTTCTGGAAACACCTCAGAGACTAGTCTCCAGAGCCACTCCAAAGGCTCAGGCTAACCTCTGGTACCCACCCTCATCTGCTAAGGTGGTATGGATGAGCTGAAAAGGGGCTACAGAGGCTGCTCCCCTGTGATACCTGTGCGTGTTCTTGTTGTGTGACCTGATGCTTGTGGATGCATCGGGCATCCTGGGATCTTACCCTGTACCATGTGTTTCTTGATGGTTGTTGTAGAAAGCTTTCTTGTTGGACTATCATTGGATCGTCATCCCGCCCCCGAATAATGACAAGGAGACTCAGTAATTATGAAAGCTTGGCCATTAGCTTAGGCTTTCCTCCACCTAGCTCTTATAACTTAAATTAACCCATTTATATAATCTATGTTCTGCCAAGTGGCATTACCTCATCTCCATACTCTCTATCCTGCTTCTTTGGAGTCTGGCTGCCAACTCCGACTTACTTCTTTGCGGAGTTATCTCTGTCCTCAGAAGTCCCACCCAACCTCTTCCTCCCTAGCTATCGGCCATTCGGGTTTTTATTACACCAATTCCTGCAGCACATCTCCCCATAGTACACACATCCCACAACAGGATGTTGAATGCTTTTCTCTCCTTGCAGTCCAAAATTGAAGACATCAGATTAAGTCAAGAAAAAGAAGCTGAAAAACTGATCCGACTTCACTTCCAGATGGAACAGGTTGTCTACTGCCAGGACCAAGTTTACAAAGGAGCCTTGGAGAATGTCAGAAAGAAGGATGCGGCTACCATTCACCATAACTCTAAACCTTCTCAGCCTTCTCAGGGGGAACTGTTTACCACTGAGATGACCCAGCACCTGAATGCCTATTATGAGGTGAGTGTGGGAATGGCTGGGCTTCTAGGCCACTCTCTATCCTCAGTACCCTTTTCTGCAGGTGTGTGTGTGTGCGTGCGTGCGTGTGTGTGTGTGTGTGTGTGTGTGTGTGTGTGTGTGTGTGTGTAAAGAATCTACCAGCAAGGATTCCTTCCTCACAGGGAATGTTAACTGACCTTCAGAGTCCTCAGCCACAAAGGGGGTGACCTCCCAGGGTCAGCTGGTAGTCTCCACACACCACCTCCACAGTACTAGCCTCAGAAATACCCAGCTCAGTAGTGGAGGGGCTATTTTCCCGGCCTTGTGTTTGTTTTATTTTAAACAGATTTTGTCTTTCCGGGGTTCCAGCAAAGTTCCTAGGATTTTCTTGTACATCTTAAGTCATTTTAGATCTTTACTAACTTATTTATTTTTTTAAACGGTGGTATCACATTTTGTAGCCTAGGCTGCTTTGGAACTCACAAGGCCCAGGGTGGCCCCAAACTCCTGGGGTGGGGGTCCTCCCAGGTTAGACTCCAAAGTGCTTCATAATTTCATTACACCTCTGACAGACCTGGATTCTTAGCCTTCAGCATCAAGCAGGATCAGGCATTGGCATGTGTCCTAAGAGGATGTCCTGGCCCTCACTCTGAAAGGCCCTCTGACCTGTTTGTATACTGGGTTTCCTAGGTACAGTGCTTTTCCAGTGTGGCCTTTCTGTATGTGTGTTCCCTTGGGATGGCTCCTTGTCTAGTGCACCATGCAGCTTGGCCTCCTGGCACTCCATTCTTTGCTTTAACTTATCTTCTTTGCTTTAACTCTGGTAAAGTGTGCATGACACAAGCCTTCCCACTTCTTACTGTTCAGAGCAATCATTTAGACAGTAGATGCCTTTACATTGCTCTATGCCCTCCCAGGCCTTTTCATCAGCCACAAACAACATTATCTCCACTAAATACTGACTCTAGTCTCCTTGCCCCTGCCACCTTTCTGCTTTCTATCTGGGAGTGTGATCACCCCCAGGGACCTCCTTCCAGTGCAATTGCATCACAGAGCATCTGTCCTTCCTGCTTGGCTTATTTCTCAGAGTGTAATGTCGAGGTCCCTGCATGTTGTAGAGGAAATGAGGGCATTATATCTGCAGGTATCAGCCCTTCTTTATAGCTGTGGCTCTGCTCTCACCCAAGGTATCCATGTTTGGGTGTCTGAATCCTCATGCCACCTGAGGGGCACCCTGCATCCCTGGTTGTTATGAGCAGTTTTCCCCTCCAGCCTGGTCCCATGGCCACATCAGCCCCAAATAATACACACAGACATTGTATTAGATAAAGCTGTTGGCCTGTTACTAGCAGTTCTTATTGGCTAGCTCTGTCTTAAATATCAACCCATTTCTATCAATCTAAGTACTCCCACATGGTCTTATCTTACCGGAGAGAGGGTCCGAAGTTCTTCTCTCTTAGTCCTACATGTGGACTCTCCTCCTACCTCTCCCTGAATCCTCCTTGTCTCCTAATCACACCTATCTTGCTTTCCTACTGACCAACAGGGCTTTTCATTAAACAATAAGAGAAACATATTTACAGAATGACATCTTCCATCACTGTTCTGGACTTCCATTTGGAGATAAGCCATATTCTGGCTGTCTTTGGTTCTAAAATATACCAGTGCTGCATGTAATCTTGCAGTACTTCCCTGAGCTGTCAACTAGATACTTGTGATCTGTCTAGCTTCCTTTTACTCTGGTATCCTTTAATATGGTGAATTGGCTTAACCATCCCCAGAGGGTTGTGCTCATGGTATCCCTGCATCCCAGGAAAAGAAACTGAATTCCAGAGAAGTACTTATCCTTGTAGAACCACCAGTACTGGGTATCTAGGACACCACCCTGTCTCAGGACAGGAAGAATTGGGCAGACTGTAGAGCTGGGAGAAAAATACTCTCAGGTGGAAATCGACTTCCCTCAGGCAGCTAACTCAGAGCTCTGCTGGGGACTCCCCCCCCCCCCTCGAAAAGTCTGAGACTTGAAGACAGCAGTTGGGCTATCTGTGGACCATCTTCTGGTTCATTTTACCTTTTTCTATTGAACATCCTTCCATTTGATGGTCAGGGCAGAGTCCCAAAAAACTGATACCTGTCCAGGCCATGCTCTGCTTGTATGTTAAAGGGGTTGAGACCAGGCCAGTACCATGTACCTGTTAGGGTCTCCCCCCACTTGGAAACTTGGGTCCCTCTGACACTCACAGCTCTTTCTTTCCACTTTCAACCCCTCTGTGACCTGCCCCTCCTAGGAGTGCAGTAGGAACATTGGGAGACAGATCCCTCTGATCATCCAGTACTTCATCCTGCAAAGATTTGGGGAAGAGATGGAGAAAGCCATGCTTCAGCTCTTACAGGACAAGGTTAACTGCAACCAGCTCCTGGCTGAGCGGAGAGACACCACAGAGAAGAGGAAGTTCCTGAAGAGGCGGCTTTCAAGGCTTGACCAGGCTCGGCACAAGCTTGCCAAATTCTCTTATTAACCAAGCTTTCCAGCCTGCCCTATATATCTGTGGCATGGTGTGGACCAAGGGTTGCTTTGAGGGAAAAATGCTTCAGCCTATACTCCATCAATCGTATCCCTTTAATGTTGTGTAGTCTGAACCTTTTACTTGTTACCGTTTGGAGTTAGCAAATTAAAAACAAACACCCGAGCCTCTTTGTTTGTTCACTGATGGAGTATTTTCTTAAATCTTGCTAAATGTTAATGGACTAAATATTGTTAACTGTGATTCTTACTTGATAACTGTTGTGTTACATATTTTGCTATGTTAAGGTTAAAACCCTTCTTTTTATTTTAGACAGAAAAGAGGAGATGATGGGAGGTGTCATTCTGTAAATATGTTTCTCATACTGGTTAATGAATAAAGCACTGTTGGCCAATAGGAAAGCAAGATAGGCGGGACTAGGAGACAAGGAGGAAAGAGGAAGTAGTAAGGAGGAGTCAACATGGAGAGTCGAGAGAGAGCAGAATGCCGGCCGGACTCACCGGTAAGATAAAACCAAGTAAAAGTACTTAGATAAATAGAAATAGACTAATACTTAAGACAGAGCTAGCCAATAAGAAACAAGTACCTGGCCAACAGTGTTATATCTGATACAGAGTCTCGGTGTGTTAATTGGGGCTGGCGCGGCGGCGGGGCAAGACCAGCGGCGGGAGGAAAAACTTTACTCCTTACAGTTCTCTTCAATCACATAAAGGCAACTGCATGGGGTTGAGACAATAGATCTAGCAGTGAGACAAACTTTAAAATAAGTCTGTGTCTGTCCATGTACATATGTCTATGTATTTCTCCGTGTATGTGAGTTCTGGGTATTCGAACTCAGGTCCTCAGGCTTGTAACACTCATCCATCTCTCCAGTCCTACAAGACTGTGTTTGTAAAAAATTATGGACCGTACCACTGAAAGTGAGAACCTTAGAGACTTTAAAGCACCCTTCTGGGCCCCAATGTTCTTTCCATCACAACGGTCAAGCACAAAATGCACATAGTGAATTTAAAGGTAAAACTTGATCTGGAAATCTGTAACAGTATGGGCAAGACCTTTAAGCAGCAGGGTGGGATGATGGGCATTTGATAAAGCTGCCCGAGAAAAGCTACATAAATTTACAAATAGCTAAGAATCTGTCTGTCCACAAAGCTTTTCAACAGCTCCACCTAGTGACCGATATTTGAAACCACACCTGCAAAGACACAAATGGGGTGGTTTTACGAAGATTCCCCATTTGTTAGACCTGAGTCTCACTAGCTCAGGTCAGCTGATTCTGTGTGTTTCCCCATCATGCTCTTGACTCCTTTGTTCATATTTTTGTACCTCCCTCTGTTGATTGTAGTCCAGGAGTTTGGCCCATTGGTTAGTTGTGGATTTCTGCATCTGCTTCTATTTGTTTCTGGAAAAGGGTTCAAGCCTGAAGCGCCTGTTTTAAAAAACTAAATCACAGTTCTCAGATACTGTTCTTTGGTTTGCTGAATATTTCGACTGTTCTCCAGAGGGGCCTTTTCTAGAGGCTGGACCACTAAGCCAGATCTTTACCACACTTGGCTCAGGGTGTGGGAGTTCTTTAGAGGTGATCAAAGGGGAGGGGCCCACCAGTGGCTGTGCATCCTTGAGCTATGCCTTGTACCTGATTTTCAGGTTCTACAGGGCTACCTCTCCTCCCATTCTGGCATGTTCTACCTTTTCATCATTGAGTGTGGGCCCTCCTTCCACTCATTTTATCTTTGGTCTTTTCCAGAAACCCTTATGGAGGGGAGGCTAAAGAAACAGTTCTGAACCCAATAAGTAGAAAGCATGATTTATTCAGACTGAACCAGACAATCTCACTTCTTTTCAGTGGTATTCATCTTAGTGGGATGGGCAAATTAAAAAAAAAAAAAAAAAAAGATTATTCTAGAAAACTCCAGGTTTGGAGGGCCCAGCAATCATGTGGGTGTTTGTCAGTAGCCAGGAAGTCACTCAGTGGCACAAATGCCTCTATGTTCCACACATTATTCAAGCCACACGTTGAGTTGTAATCAGTGTCCAGGCTCAGAAAGACAAATGGAGATCCCCAAGCATTTTCAGAAATAAAATTTATACCCAAGAACTGTATATGAAAATGTGAAAAAATGAGAGCTACATAAAATTTGTTTTACAGAGCACTACTTTCTGCCCCTTCTAGAATTTTTATTCTAGATTGTTTGTTTGTTTGTTTGTTTATTTATAGACGAGGTCATACCATGTAATTCTGGGTGGTCTGGAACTCACTATGTACACCAGGCTGGCATTGAATTCACAGAGATCCACTTGCTTTTGCTTCCCAAGTGCTGAGATTAAAGGCATGTGCTACCATGCCTGGTACATGGCTTAGAGCTCTTGAACCAGAACCCAAACCTTGCATGCCAAAGAACCAGGAGACATGGGTGGCCCATTCGGTGCATCTTAAACCTTGGGATACTCAACTGTGCAGATGAATTGAGGTAGGAGGAAACAGCCTTTTTATACTTCAAAACTTCGGCTTCCATTAGCACATGTGCATTTTTTAGCTACTCGGTGCACTTTTTAACTGAGTCATTGCTCAAAAGATCTTCAGCCCTTGCTGCTAAGAATGTGTGACACTTCAGCCACAAATGTGAAATGAGGGGGAGGCATCCTGATTTTATATTCCTAGGGGCAACGGACAACATTTCATAAAACCAGGAAGACAGTTCCTTCCTTCCTTTTTTCCTTCCTTCCTTCCTTCCCTTCTTCCTTCCCTCCTTCCCTCCCTCCTTCTTTCCCTTTTTTTCCTTTCTTCTCTGTGTCAGGGCTTGAACTCAGGGCTTTGTGAGTGCTATACAAGCACTATATTATTGAACTACACTCCCAACCCCAAGAAGTTTTATATTTTGTGATTTTTATTACTGCTCAATAGAGCCTTAATTAGCTATGTCTGTTGTTGTTTTTCATTTTCTTTTTCTTTTTTTTTAATCTCTGAAAGGGGTTACTCAATACTCCCTTAACACTACATTCTTCATTCAGCAGTACCCACTCTGACAGTGTGGGGTCCCTGTTAAGAGTTTTCTTACCCAGGTAGAATGCTACAGCTTACTTGTCTCGGAAGGTTCTAGCAATGTTCATAAAGAACAATGAGCAGAAAATAGCAAGCCTGGCCCCCTCCTCTGATCTGTGCATCTGTTGTGAATAGATGCACTAATTCCCACCCCCTGGTCAGTCTCCTTTCACAGACACCAATGTGAACATAACTGTGCCCAGCGTTGTCATTATGAAGCATACAGGTGAAAACTCATGTTGGCTGTGTGCTCTGCTCTGACTGATGTGTGGGGGGCACACCCTGTGCTACAGCTTAGAGCATCCCCAGTTGATCTCGCACAAGTAAATCTCCATTTGTAAATGGCGGTCTGTGTGCCTGACCCTTCCATTCCTACATGGATGACTAAATATCCTACTCTTTCTGGCTGTCACTGGGACACAAATACAATGGGAGGCTTGGCCAAGGAGCATGGAATCCCTCACGGGGGTTTGAATTTATGGTCCAGCCTTCACCTACCATCTTTCCTTTAAGAGTAACTGTACTATAAAAATTATAGGGCACAGTTAAATTTAGAAACATAGGGCATCTGGCTATAACATCTGATACAAAATCCAAAAGAAGCTAGTGGGTTGGGAGAAAAAAAAATCACCATCCTTTGTGGTTGACATTGTAAGTGCTCATCCACCCTTAATCAATTCCTCACTCAGGAGCTTTGTAGACACATGGGTGTCACCAGGAAGACTGTCTCGCTTTTCAAAATCTTTAGCAACATGGCGACTGCTTCGGTTCACTCTCTGACCCAGTGTGTTTGCCCAGGCTGTAATGCATGCAGATGCTGACTCTGAATAAGACTGGATACTTCTGCATCCTGAGGTCCATGAGACCTACTCCTGAAGAAAGACCAGGGCCTCTGTAGACAAGGCACATATATAAAGCTGACAGCAGCAGGAGGGAGGCTCTGCCCACTCAAGCTCTTCTCTCTGGATATGCCCCTGATGGAAGTCATCCCTGGAGGAATATAGTCATGGCCTGGTGACTTTTACAGTGGATGGGTGGCCCATTAGGGCTGGCTATCATGCAATTGCTCAACCTCAGTTGTCAGGACCCTCTGTTGCATGTCTGTTCAGTGGCCAGTGATCATCTTGAGGGCTTTCCCTTTTGATATTCCTAAAATGTAGGCCACACTGAAAAACCAGTGTAAAGTGGTTGCCCACATTTCCCCGGGGGGATCCAGGCTCTCTAGATCACCGAGGAACAGCAGACTGAGGTAAGGACGTGCCTCTCTCCAAACTCCTTCAGGCCTTTACCCCTCTAAGAGTCTAGACTTCATCAACTCCCAGTAATCCTTGACTCTGCTGATGGAACTGACCAACCTGTATTTGGCTCAGGCATCATGCAGGCTACTCCCACAAACTTTCTTTGCCAAGGCTGACTTCAATGCTTGACCCCTCACATGTTGGGGGTGGCAGTTCCATAAAATGAAATGACACCTCTGACAGACTAAGCAAAATTGAAGGTGAAAGAGAGTTAAAAACTAGAATTGAAGCACATTTTCCAACAGTGTTAACCCTGCTTATTCTGTGAGCTTATTTTAATAACATTATCTCTCCATTGTCTCACCCTCTCAAACTGCTTTGCTGTCTAATTGATAAGCTGCTAAGCTCAGGTCTGTAATTCTTAAAACTTACTGGAGATGTACATATCCATGTGGACTTTTCCTGGCAGTAAAAAAACTGTGTGGTGTTTAGTTATTTTTCCTTAGAAAATAGTGGTGATTTTTCCCCCTATGGATCTGCCAATAATCAATTCTAGTAAGTTCATGCAAAAGTAACACTGGGATGCTGTCCAGCTATTTGGTTTCTACTAATAAAGATAAGATCTGTAAAATTCAATTTTCCTTGGCGGAGGAACAGATTTCTGGGCAGTGGTCTATTCCCAGGGAGGAAACAGGAACTCAAAACCTAATCAGGCATAGCTCTTCCACCGGGTAAGAAAATGGCAAGACCAATTTAGCAAATTCCCGTTCTTAATTAACTCATTAAATAGCCCCCCCCCCACGCCTCTTAAGTGAGAGAATGGAATCCATTTTATAAAACCTCTTCCTCAAAGCTCCTTAGTGCTGCTTTCTGGAAATTACATCAATTTTATGGTTTTCTGACCCAAACCTCTGGATTTCAGGACCAGCTGGATAAATTCCTTCCCAATTGCTCAGAAGAGGGATGTATTGGGAGGAACACATCCTATGGTCATGTGCAGCACAGCTGTCTCTTTAAGTCCAGGCACCTGTTTCTGGCTCAAAAAAGACAAAAATGCAGCTCATACCAAGAGAATGGACATAGATCATGGGTGTCTCTCAACCTGGGGAGACAGATCCATCTTATTTCTTGCTATTGTTTTAAAAATAACTTTAGTTACCTGAAGGTAGGATTTATTTGCAGATTTTTGTTTTGTTTTTTTCAAGACAGGTTTTCTCTGTGTAGCCCTGGCTGTCCTAGAACTCATTCTGTAGATCATCAAGCTGGCCTCAAACACACAAAGGTCAACAGAGATCAGATCTCCTGAGTTCTGGGATCAAAGGGCTACA